ACAGACAGACAGACAGACAGACAGACAGACAGACAGACAGACAGACAGACAGACAAGCAGACTGACAGACAGACAGACAGACAGACATCCCAACTTCTTAAGACCACCTTCCAAGCCGTTCTGGAGGGCGTCACAGAAATCTTAGCAACACGAAGCACGACATGTACTGCAGTTACATTATTTTACCTGTACGCGTACTTTTAACTGTTTAACGACATAGCGGAAACACATTACTATGTACCGCAGCAACCCAAAGGCAATGCTGCGCACATTCGAACAGTCAGACACAAATCAGAAACACACACGTTGTGTATTTCATAGTATGCATGTTGTTGTCCGTTTCTTATTTCAGCTACAGAAACTTGAATTGAAAAAAAAATTAGTTTAGTTTTAGTAAGCGCTTTATTTACGGCACTTGAAATACAATTAAGTCTTATAAGCGCTGAAGATTACAGGTGTTACAAGAGAGTAACACACATAAAAAAGAAGGAGAGACCAAGACGATATGTGTATAATAGGAAAGAAGGAGCACACCCCACCCTAGCACCCGTCAATCCCCCATTTTTTAATGTGTGTCTTTCGAGAAAGAAAAACAGACATACATTATAACATCTGTATGACAAACGAAGTTATTCAAGTGCTGCCCCCCAAAACAGCGAGTCTTCTGGCGTTGTGGTCGTATCAACAAAATGCTCGTCCTCAAGGAGTTAAGCGCTGCTCCACCTGCTCTACATGCACGGATCTCCAGGTCACGTCACAAGACCTGCTGCTCCACTGTACACACCAGTTTCTTCTTCTTCTTTCTACTCACTTGACAACTTCCGCTGTAATACATCTCTTTTCCCCTTCCCCCAGAGCGTGATGAATCTTCCAACACTTTCATTAAATTATGTTACTTGTTTCAGCAGCATCCCTTGTCTGCCTGCGTTTGTTTCAGCTGGATATCTCGTATCTTTTCACACATCACTCCCACCGCCCCCCCCCCCAAAGCCCCCTCCCTACCAAAAGCGAACAAACGAACAAACAAAGTGGGCACGTATGTGCGCGAGTATGTGTGGGTGCGTATGTGTGCGCGCGTGTATGTGCATGTGTGTGTGCGCGCGCGCATGTATGTCCATCAGCATTTCAACATACCAATACCATCTGAACCACACAAAGTGCCTCGCTCGCCCCTCCATCATACATTTCATTTCCACTTCAAGGCCCTGCGATGTTCGAGTCGATGATAAAACATGACCCCGGAGAGCGACATTACCTCCGCCCTCTTCAGTCCGTCCGTGAGTTCCACCGGCTATCGCGGTGTGGGAGCACAGGTCGCTGTGAGATCAAGGGGTGAACTCACGCATCTAGAGCGTGCCTTATCGTTCTGCACCAAAGTGCGCCATGTAGTGCTACATGAGGGGAAGGGTAGATTCAGAAGCCAGGGTAGGGAGTGAAGAGTGGAGGAGGAGGAAGAGGAGGAGGAGGAGG